TTCCCGCTCTTACTTTTACTGCATGCGGTGTTCGTTTTTTCTGCTTTTACTGTATGCCAGTGTTGGTTTTTCCCGCTCTTACTTTTACTGCATGCCGGTGTTTGTTTTTTCTAGCTAGATGAAATCATGTATACTCGTATAGTACAGTTAGACGTAAAAACGATGTCATAATCTGATACGATATAATACTCCATTAGTTTAGAATTTGGGATTGTTGTTTTCATTGCATCTATGTATCAATGGCTAGATTTCTTCAAAACATTGATTGCTTTTCACCTTACCTTTTTGTGTATGCAGCTAAGCTAGAGAAGAAGATTGTGATTAACGATTCTGTATGTGGTCGATGGAAATCAGTTATGCCCGAATGGTATTCAACGAGCAACGTACAACCAGATGCTAAAACTTGCATCCATTCGTAAATTGCTGTGAAACAGTTTAAAACACTTACTGGGTATGCGTTTACCGATATCACGTACTTACCAATTGAGTAGAGCAATGACCGAGAATCTTACCCAATAAGAAGCCGAGAGTCTTGTGAGTTAAAAGACTTATAACTTGGTTTACGACACTTACCAATAATCCATTTTGATAGCCGAAATGCTGCATGACAAGGTAAGTGAGGGTGATATCTCTTGCCGTTAAATGCTTACCCGTAGTAAGTGTTTGGTAAATGGCCCCTATTTCTTTTTCACTCACTTTTGCACAAGCGGTGAGTATCCACGGAGAATCCGCTCTATAGGGGCGGATTCAGTAACCGCCTAGGGGCTGTTTGTGCCCTTGCTCTATCGTCCTGATGCAATGGAAAACTTTTTAGGGGTCTTAAAAAGGTGCATTCGATTCAATTTGACATGTGCTAACAGAAAGTGGTTGAAACCTATTAGTAGTGTCATTGCATGTAGCATTAAAGGCTACAAATTCGAAATTTTGAATTTTTTTTACCTCTTTTTTAAATATTTATTGTTAAAAAGACAGAAAACCAAATGTTTTATTTGTAAAGTTCAAAATTTTATTTATTCGAAAAGAAATTCAAGGTTTTATCACTCAAAATTAAAAATACGTTAAAATCCCCTTCAAAAACCTTGTCGTAACAGTGGAGATGTAAATGGATTGTTTGGTTGTTTTTCTATTAAGTCATGTATGAATAAAACTGTTCGAATGGATTAATCTATCTGTATAGATTGGAATAAACGTATTTTTTAATTGGAAATTACAAATTTGGAAAAAACTTGATTTTCTCGCACAAAACTCCTTCTTATAAACTTACTGAATAAGTCATTTTCTACAGTTACGTGTAATTGATCGATCATTCACTCCGTGAGGATAAAATTAAAACAAACTCTTGATAACAAGTTAAATAAATGGCAAAATGTTTTTAGTTCTACCTTTGATTCAAATATTATCATTCTCTTCGATACACAAAAAGATCAACCATAAGGATGGTGTCTGATTGATTTGAGCTTGACTCTAAAGGTCAAAAGTCTGGAGGTCCCAAATTCAAATTCAAGGATGAATAAAATTTTTATTGTGGCTACGAAAATTCAAATGAGGTGACTCCAGGCTACCTGCAAAGCAGGTGATATCCTGGGATTAGTTGGCTCGCATAACAAGTTGGATATAAAAGTGAATAAAAAAAACCCAAAACCCAAAAAGACATTGTTACAAATACTCCAAGGGAAGGGATGGGGATCTATAGTATACATATAGGCGAAGGATCGTGTGGGAAAAAAATAGTTAAAATGAAAAGCGTTAATCATTTTTATACTCATACTCATTTATGAATTGCGTTTTAAAAGAGAATGTGATGCACCTCATTAGTGTTCATATTCAATTAGAATTGATCTAATGATGAAGATCTATTCCTACGCTTCTCACCGAATATATAAGGTTAGGTTTAGGGAAAAAACATAAAAAAATGAAAAACTGAGGAATACCTAAAGAATCTTTCATTTGAGCGATGTACATATGTATATACAAGTAATTGGTAAACAATTTATTTGGTATGCACATGTACATAACATGTATACATGCATAAAAGCCAAGAAACAACTCCAATTACTTATATGCACATCCTGCCCAGATGACAGCTACCAGACTGTTACTCAATTTTTCATTATATATATATATATATATATATATATATTATACTTCTTACATATTTAAACACATACAAACTTGTTAAATAACTGTAATTGAGTTATAAGATATACCCAACCAGCATCAAATTCATGCTTACCGAAGTTCATATTTCCCCCCTTTTCAGTGATTAGGTTTCACCCCGCACCCTCATCGCTCCTCCTCCTCCCTCGTCGGTCCCGGCTCTCCCCGCTACCACTCGGTCAGTCCTCATCCATCGTCGCTCTCGGCCCTCCTCCTTTCTCCCTCGTCGCTCAAGTCCGTCCTCCCTCGGCTGCTCGAAAAGGTATAATTTTTTAAAACTGATCGATTTATGCTAAATTCATTACATTTGTTGGGTTTTTCTGTTTCTGGATTTATATTATGTGCGATAATGATGGATTACTTGAAAGAATCGGCTGATTTCATTACTTGATCGATTGTACACATTTTACTATCTCAGTTCAACTAAAAGCATATGAACACACTAAAATCAGATAGCAAAAGACCAAGATATCATAAATAAAAGACAAACTAGTAGCCAACTGTATATCAAACTCAAGAACCCTAAATCAAATAACAATTAAGAAATAGAAAATTAATAATTATCAAATAACAATAATTATAACTCACAATAAAATGCAAAAAGAAAGTCGAAAAAAATAACGATTGATCAAATTATTAGTATTATAGCAAACAAAACAAGAGAAATAATGACCTTCAATGGGTTGAGACTTAGAAATTAGGGGCATTAGAGTTTAATTGATGCTTAAATTGGTACTCCTTGACACAAGAGTTGTAAATGAGATGGTAGGAATTAGATTTGGGGCCCTTACCTTTTAATTCTTGGGGGGATATTAGTAATTTTAAGTAAAAAAATGTTTTCAAAGCTACAAGTCATTCTTTGTTGGGGGTTTCTTGGTTGTTTGTTGGGGGCCTTTGCCCCCTACAGCTTAGCTATGTATCTGCCCTTGTTTACAAGGAGCTTTTCCCTTTTAATAGATACCCATTTCATTTTCTATGAGATTAGCTATTTTCCTGCCTTCAGAATGACTTCTATAAGTGGGAAAACACAATTAGAAGAAATGGGTTTTTTCTTGAATTCAATATGTTCGACTCCAGTTATGATCCTTGGTTCTGAGATTAAGCGAGGTCCGTCTGCCTCAACTGTTGAGCTGGAAAGTTAGCTTTAAGCATTGATAATGAAATGGGAATTGATACAATTGGGAAAACGTTGATTGGAGCCTGAGACATGTACTCCATAATCACTTGAAGCCATAGAAATTCAAGTACTCCAAGCATGGACTTAATTTTCGTGCTGGGATTAAAGCATATGCTTCTCTTTTTCTTTATCTCGAAAAGGAACATTTGACTGATTCTAAGAATGGATCTAAAACGTTATCAAGCTTAATGCTGCTCGAGACTCGCATTCCATGGATCGCATGTGAGGAGTCGAGATTCCCAGGACTCCTTTAGATTTGATTTTACGGAATAAAGTAGTAGAGTTTATATGTTATTGTCTCATTATTTGGATTTTTGTTATAAGCTTTTCTAGCATATGATCCATCTATATTTGTCTCATAAATGTTCCATTTCTAATATTTCTCAAGTCGCTCTCGCCCTTTCTTTTACATATTGCTTGTTTTTATCAATAATTATACTGATTCTAAATCCATTTGCATATATACATGTTCTCCTTTTTTTTTTTTTTTTTGAAGTATATAATATTTATATACAGCAAATGCAACAAATAAACTCACACACCCTTCTCACCTATGGTGAGGTTTGAACCCTTGACCTCCTAGAAGGCCAAGGGATACGATACCGCTAGGCCAAAGGCCCTTTGGTTTACATGTTCTCCTGTTGTTGTCTAAATATATTTTAGTTTACTAATGATTTGTGATAAGAACATTCAATTTATATTATTTTGTTTCATTTAACATTTTTATTTCAATTGTAATTTCTGTCGATTCATAATACTTATAAACTTGTCATATTTCAGTTGACTTCAAATCATATAGAGGGTTAAAATGATAACTATCTTTCAGCTTGTCTATTCATAACATTTTGCAAATGCTCATTTCAATCTAGAAAACCTATTGTTCATTTGTGAATAAGATGTGGCCTTAGGGGCCGTTTGGTTGATTTTCCATAAATCCTGTATAGATAAAACTATTTGTGTGTAATAATCTGTTTGTATAGAATGGAAATGTTTTTGTTTGGGAGGGTTTTTCATAGATGGAAGGAGTGTGCTTTTTAATTGGGAGGGGCAGGTTTGGAAAAAACTTGGCTTTCTGCATAATGCTCTCCTCTAAAAGCTTACTGGTTTATATCATTAAACCACTACCAAACAGTCATGTATAGCTGACCGAATAAGTTGCGAGTCTCATTAAGCTCATTAAGCTGCTAACAAACATACCCTTAGTCTGCTTGATAGTTGTTCCAACTCTTTATGCTAAGTTCTTGTCCCTAAAATAATAATAATTATCCATGAGTCAGATTTGTGTAGTTTGGATCTGGAACCTTTAAATCTATCTTCATTGGATTTGTTGGAATTAGGAACTTTCTAAGATGTTAATGGTTGACAAAATAATGCAGCTTATTATGGGGACTGAAGGCCCCAAGGACTCGTTGGACTGGAAAACGATTGGTGACTCGTCAAAGAATGAGGCTGACACTGGACCAGTTGTAAAGAAACGACTTCCGAGAAAGATGCGCCACATTCCAGACTACTATTTTCTTCCTCGTAGATCCATGTTTGCTAACATTGCAATTTACGGGTCGTGCATTGTTGGTGGAATCGGAGCTGGAATGCTGACTGAAATCTGGATTAACAAGAAAATTAAAGGTACACTCATTCTCAATTCTGCTTGAACTACTTTCTAAATAATTAAGCCACTTGAAATTGGCCTCACCTTCCCTCTGCACTCTCTAATCCCGTACCAGAAACAATGGTATCTCCAATTATGGCCCCCCCCGGATGTAAAGTATATCTCTTCTCACCATCCCTATAGTGTATGAGACAAATGTATGCATTTCAATTCGGGTCGTATTCTATGGTCACGATTCTACCATATATGTCTTTTTCATTCCGTCGAAAATCTATTTTACGGTATAGACACTTATGACCTCCCCCCCTGCGGTAATGATTCCTCCTGCGGGTTATTTTCTCAATGAATAAGTAATTCTAGAAAGTCTTAGTTGCCAATTACGAATGTCTATTTATAACGATAATGGGAGTCGATGAACTGCAGTTGTACTTGTGTCAACAACTTATAAGAAAGCTTCCAAAGTTCCTATTTGAGGGAGTTTTAGTTTGTAGGATTTGGAAATGGATTACATCCGGAATGAAATCCCAGGATTTCGACAAAATCCTACAAACATTGGATTTAGGAATCTTGTGGGCTAGTTGGTATTTCATGGGATTTCGTAAAGTTTGTTTGTAATGATGTTTTAAAATATGTTAAAAACATAGGTTTTGTGATAACTAATTAACAAAAGGGTATTTAATTATTTTTATAATTTGTTTTTTATAAATTATCTATAATGAATTCCATGCCAAATCCTACCAAAAATTCCAAATCCTTCCACAAAAACCAAAATCTTATCATAGTTGTTGGCAGTGTTCAAAAAGGCGCGATATGGCGCAAGACGCATTTCCGCAGTGTTCAAATTTGGAGAGATCTCTAAAATTCAATATTTAAGTGAAAAAAAGTATTTTAATTCTTTTTCCAGCAATAAGAGACATTGAAATTAAATGTTTAGGAGAGAGAAATATTATTTTATTAATAATATAATTAATATTGGAATATCTAAAATAGAGTAACTGTTGGAGTTGGATGTAATTTCTTTTTGGAGATTTTGACTTATAACAGTCTAATTTAAAAAAATTATAGAGTATCTGTTGGAGATGTTCTAACATGTGGCTTTACTCATTACAGAAGATGGTGGCGGTGTTCTATGGGAATTCGACAAATAAATTTGAGATAGAATTACGTGTATGCGAAAGCGAAAGTATGATAGATAATACAAAACGATATGTTGCCTGAATATTTCAAGACGGTTTTTTAGGGTTGGTTTGCTAGATCTTTTCGGTTTCCTCGGTTTGATTTATTTCCGCTTCCAATTTTTGTGAGTTCATCAACCAAATATATGGGTTTTTATCAAACCTCTCGGAGGTTAAGGGATCAAGTCTTGTCAAAAGTGAGGAGTTTTTTTTTATTTTTGTCGTATATAAAATATTATATCTTAAAAAATGGGTTTTTACAGAAACAACCATTCTACTCTTTTGAGTACAAGGGGACGTTTACCTAAATGCTTACCCGGTAAGCACTTACTGTTAGAAGTCAACCTTATAATTTATTTTTCCGAGTAAGATTGTAGTAACAATGTACCCGATAAGCACTTACCCGGGTAAGAGTCGGCACCCTCACAAGCATATATTACAATCGGAGTCGAAAATTGTTGACTTCATCGACCAAATATCGGAGAGCACAGTTACAAAAAAACGAAAAACAAGTCTCAAATCTTCAACGTCGAAGAATTTAACTAAACACCGATGCCAACAAATTGACACAACTTTTTAATTTATTTTTATACTATTATATCTGAATTTATTCGAGTTTACTCGTACATTCAAACCAGATAAAACTCTTTCAAAGAATTGACCCATCCTTTATTCTCTCGAGCAACAAAGTTACAAACCCAAAGATAGCAGCCAGTAAAATCCAAGTGGCCCTAACGACCTATGGAAAGGAGCCTCAAGATTTAGCCTTTATTTTGCACTAGCAACATACATACAAACCACAACATCGCCATTCTTTTTCTTTTTAAAGTATATAGTATTTATATACGGCAAACCTCATGCAAATCCCTGACTCCCATAAGGTTGAGATCTTACCTGTAACTCGGGTACCATTGGACCAAAGACACTTTCTCATGTCTATTTACGCCCTACGAGTCTGCGACTGATATGAAAACACATATATGAAACACGTGACTCATACTGATCTCCCTTGAATGATTTTCCACGACTTTTAGTGCACGAAACGGGAGCGACGAGAGGATACGAGGCTGAATCCGAGTATGAGCATGGTGGAAATGAACAAGTTGAAGAACGGCTTTTCCTAGTTGACATGAGCCTACGTAAAAGGCCTCCTTTTGGTTTCGGGTTCTTGTTAGAAGATGTTTTGAGAGAGTTGAACATAACTGAAGGTGGTGGTGTGAGTGGCAGAGGTGGGGGTTCACGAATCCCGACTCTAGGTGTACCTGGTTGAGATTCCCACTTGAATGGGACCGCAACCGATGCACCACCATAATAGACTTCTACAAATGAGAGAGGGCCTGATGTTTCCATAGATAAAAACCTTGAACCGCTAGATCTCCAATCCTTCCTTGTTTTAGTGGTCATTACGGGACTATCAGAACCATCGACCACCGTATATATCTGTGTTAAAGTCCCACATCAGCTATGCTTGAACAGTTATTCTTCGATATATCTTGTATACAGTCTACACATACAGAAACTAGCATGTTAAAAGCTTGTACATAATGGACCTCTTTTCATATGAGCAACCCCCCAACAAACAAGCTTTTCTGGATATTATTGAAAATGTCAGTTGACTTTTTCAAGTCAAACATAAAAAGGTGATATAAAAAGAAACAAGAAAATGAAAGAATAACTACAGTTCTGAAGGTATTTATTGAATATATATATATATATATATATATATATATAGGTGATATAACATGAGAGATGGACATTGTAACAAGAATTACTGAATTACAAATATGATGCATTTGGTACACATATAGAACCGGATGAGTGAGAGCGAGACAGGCAGATGAAAGAATTGTGAAAGGTTTTAGGGTTTTATTTTGACATAGGTAGTTTAGTAATTTACCCATGGGTGTTGCTATATGCACACCTATTTATATCACAATAAGTTCGAATCTTACACTGAAAATGTAAAAAATAAGTCTTGATGTTGATATATGTGATGAAGAAATTAGTAGGTAGGTGTACATTTAGCCTACCCCTTTTACCAATCTTGTTCCATCTCTCTGGTTTTTGTTCCACCTATTTAAGCGTCCCACTCTATCATGTCATATCCTAGTCAAACGCCAGCACCAAACATGATACAAGTTTTTGTTTTGTCCTGTCTTATACTGCGTACCAAATGCACCCTTTCAACCATTGAAAAGCATTGAATCAGACTGCTCACCATACAAAAGGGATCTTTGCATTTGATTTCATGTAGCATGCTTTGAATCTGGTGGCTTGTCACTTCAGTCAAGAGGCAACCAGAGTTGCAACAACCTGCACTCACCTATTTATTTCTATCTAATAAGGTGGATGGAAGTATATAATAAAGATGGTTATGAGATCTGAAAATACTTGTTCAATAGTAACCACTTAAAAGTAAAACCAAACCAAACGGACCTAATAAATCCCATGTAGAAGTAGGGTCTGGGGAGGGTAAGATGCAAATAAACTTACCTCTACCCCGAGGGGTAGAGAGACTGTTTCCGTCAAGACCACCGACGTGCATAACATATACATATGATCTATTTTTGTAACTTGATATGAATCATCAATCACCTTGTAGCCAAAGTCGGGGGTAAATAGTCCTTTATGTAAATTACTCATCTGTCTCAAAATAAATGTTCACAATGAAAAAGACACAGTTTTAGAAATGAGAAATTATTACCCTTCTTAATGAACTAAATGACAATTTTACTCGATAATAGAGGGAGTAATGAATTTCTCCATGCTATAAATAAGAGTAGAATTGAAAAATAGACACTTACTTTGGAATGAAGTAAGTACATTTTTACAAGAGTTTGCTTGTTTCTAAAAGTAGAGGTCTTATAATCATTTAAGTATTTGAGTCTCAGGATGGACAACGAACGATATAAATTTCATCCTCTTTCCCTCTTAACTTTGTTCTTATGTTAAGTCACTAAGATATACACTTTGTATCTTATTCGTCCCAAAAATACAATGTTTTGACTTGGCATATGGTTTAATAACTAATTATCAGATACCTAAAGTACCCTTAACAAGAGAAAACCGAGAAGACTTGTGGACCAAATTCAACCTAACAGTTGCTGATGGGCAAATAGGTAAAATCGGATAACAATCTTTCCAGAAAAGAAATCATTGCATTTCTCTAAGACAACCCAAAATAGAAAGAGCTACATTTTTTGGAAAATTGTTGGTGGAACAAAAATCAGGAAGACGAGACAAGATTGAAAAATTATTAAACTATCCATGTCAAATTAAAACCCTAAATATTGCATAATTCTTTCATCTGCCTACCTCACTCTTGCACATCCAGTCTGTCTACCAAATGCACCCATACTCCAAAATTTATCTCAAACACAAGGGAACATCTAGGAATAAAATAAACAAGTGTACAAATCTAAAGCCCAAAACTAGCATGCAATTGCTATGAAGTCCATAAATCATGTAATTGTATTATATGTGTCTATCTAATTTGTATCCAAGTTTAGGGGAAAACAATCAGCTTTTGTGAAGTGGCATGAAATTTGACGCAACATTATAAGGAAGGCTTCAGATATAACAAAACTGTAGACTTACCAAGATGCTGTATACATCAGTCACCAATAATCCTTGCATGAACAAAGCCCATTCCTGAAATGGTGAAAGCGATTACGGTCCCTCATAATTATATCCCGCTTATATATCTTCGATATAAACTTTATAGCAGTATGACAATCATTGCAAGTTCTCAGGTTCTTGATCACTCGTATTTGCTTTCCAGGAGGGGTGCTCATGAGTCCAAAAGCAACTGCAATCCTCTCACTATGATAGCTAACCGACGTCTCTTTTTCCTCATCATATATATCATGGAGCACAGAACCTGTATCTGGCTCATAACCTTGGTCTTTTAGTTTCTTTGCAATATCGACCAAAAACACATTAATTTGTGGGAATTGGGGATGCGAACTATCTCCTGCCACGAATTCATGTACTGCATTGTCCAACTCAATCGAACTGCAACCGGGTACCTTCTGAACCCCACTCTCTATCATTAACTTCCGGCATCTGTCCACATCCTTCCATCGACTTAATGATGCATATAAATTGGATAAGAAAACATAATTCCCTCCATCCTTTGGATCCAACTCCAGCAACCGTTGAGTAACCTGCTCTCCAAGTTCAGGATCCTTATGTAAATGACAGGATCGGAGCAAACTTCCCCACACTACTGCATTTGGCTTCAATGGCATGATAGTTATGAGTTCTAGTGCTTCTACAAGTAAACCAGATCGACCTAAAAGGTCAACCATACATCCAAAGTGTTCAATCCCTGGTTCCACACCATAAACGCTTTGCATTTGAGAAAAATAATTTCTTCCTGCAGAGATCAATCCTGAGTGGCAACAAGCACACAGAAGACCAACAAAAGTGACCCCATCAGGATTTATCCCTTCCTTCTCCATAGAAAGGAAATAATCGATTGCTTCATTACCATAACCATGCATTGCTAATCCTACAATTACCGAATTCCAGCAGTATATGTTCTTGACGTGAAGCTTGTGAAAAACATCTAAAGCGGCTGCTATACTTCCACACTTGCTGTACATGTCGATAAGAGCATTTCCTAAAACAGCATCAATCCTAAGTTTGTTCTTATTGATGTAACCATGAATCCATTCACCCATATCTAAGGCTCCAAGATGAGCACATGCAGATAGCAGGCTAACCATGGTTACCTCGGTTGGTTTCACCCTCTCAGTCTGCATATGCTCAAACGAACGTAATGCTCTCCGGAACTCCTTACACTGAACAAATCCAGCAATCATAGTGTTCCATGTAATGGAATTTTTCACTTCACCAACTCTATCAAACAATTCTTCAGCACAACTAAGATTGCCAACTTTGCAGTAAGCATCTATCATTGCATTCCAAGAGACAACATCTTTGATGGGATTGCAATCAAAGATGAGGCGAGCTGAGTCAATGTCTCCTATCTTGTAATAACAAGTGATCATGGAATTCCAAGTAACTGAATTCTTATCCTGCATACTGTCAAACAGATTCTGTGCATCTTTGACAAACCCATGCTTGCTAAGTGCTGAAATCATTGCATTATTAGCCACAACATCCCTATGGGACATTTCATCAAACACCCTCTTTGCGGAGCTCAAATCTCCGACCTTTGCATAAAAGTCTAGCAGTCCTGTTTGCAAAACCACATCGTAGTTAAAATTTGACTTGAATATCTGGCAATGAAGTGTTTTCCCTAGTGGTGTGACACAAAAACTGGCACAACATTGAAGAATCAGAGAAAGTATATTTTGACTGGGACACACATCGCTACACCGCATTTCATTATAAAGAGTTAGAATATCTCTCAAGTTATCAGCATTCCTTAAATAACCCGATTTACTATACCCATCAATCATCACCTTCCACGTCATCACATTTTTTACAGGATTTCTATCAAAGATAAGCCGCGCAGAGTTGATATCACCTATCTTCAAATAGCAAGATATCATTGAGTTCCAACTATAGGAATCCTTTTCCGACATACTATCAAACAAAACCTGAGCATCCTCCACACGTCCATGCTTCCCAAGTACTGATATCATGACATTACAAGCAACCACATCTTTCTGTGACATTTCTTCGAACACCTTCTCTGCACAGCTCAAATCTCCAGTCTTTGCATAGAAATCAAGCAACCCAGTTTGCAAAACCACATCTGAATCGAAACCCCACTTAACTACAACACAATGAAACAATCTCCCCAATTGGGCATCATCAAATTTCGCACAATATTGTAAAACCGAAGCAAACATGCCAACGTTGGGACTGTTTGCATTGCAACTACGACATCGCATCATCGCACTATAACAAGTAAAAAAATCCAGCAAGTTATTAGATTCTAGAGACGTTTTAATCATGGAACCCCAGAACGATGCTGTCGAAATCGATGCCGGTAAGCTATATAGGAACCGTAAAGCGTAAGTCGGGTTACGAGAACGATAGCAGGAATGTAAGAAGGTGGTGATGAGGGAAGTGGAAACGAGATGACCATTTGTGAGGATCTGAGTGCTGATTTGATGGAGTTGTTTAAGGGTTAAGAATTTGCTGTCTAAGATCGATATAATGTAAGTTAGGGTAGATTGCTGAGGTTTGTACAGTGGTACCATTGGACGTTTGATCTGCAAATCACTCTCTTTCTTGCCGCGAACAATTTGAACTCAAATGAGCGCTCTCTCTCTCTCTCTCTCTCTCTCTCTCCATATATATATATATATATATATACTAGTTGTGTACCCGCGCAATGCGGCGGGAGCCATGAATTTTAACGATTTTGAAGTTCTACTGGTTTTATAAGATAAGATTTAACGATGATATATGTTACACTTGGTTTTTACATATTAATACAATTTGAATAAATAAGAGTTATGGTTCCAATTACAGACTATCGATGAAAAAAAATGTATGACAATTTAAAATCCAATATATTTAAAATCCAACATATTTAGACGACTCCACAAATGTGTTCGATTTACACAAAGAGCAAAGAACCAAGAAACTTGAGTTTTAAGATAAACACTTAAAACCAATAAAGAAAACTACAAATTTAACAGATGATAAGCCATGAAAAGACCAAAAAAGATGGGTTTTAGAATGAAATTTCAACTGCTTACCCTCTTTCTTGTCTAAAAACTCAGATTAAGGTTGAATTAATACATGCATATATATATATATATATTTCAAAAAAACCCAAGCACATATTAATTCAGAACATATATACAGTACAATTTGAACAACCTAACCCCAAAATATATAGTATATATATATATATATATATATAAATAACTATAAAAGTATAAATTGTAAATATTAAAAATATTTTTTTACAGTATATATAATATATAATAATATAATTAAGTAAAAAACTATTCAATATTGGACTCATTTCGAAGGTATTAACGAGACGATTATAATGATATAACTTGTTAAAATAAAAATGTATTTTTTAAACATGTTTTAATTGATATACAATTATGTATGTTAATTTGATAAAGGTTTAAAATGAAATATTTAAAAGTAAAAGACGTAAAGTAAATTAATTAATTAATTATAGGGGTATAAAATGTAAATTTAAAATTATAGTTTTAGAAAAATGGTTGCGAGAGGGTGAGTGTATATGAGGGGGTGAGTGTATGTGAGGAGAGAAGAAGATGAAAAAGTGAAAAAGTGAGGTAAGATAGTATAAAGGGTATTTTGGTCATTTAGTATTTTAAGACTTTAAGACTTTTACAAAATTTGCTTAATAAGATAGTATAGATATGGACGATCATGACTCACGAGAGAAGTACGAAAAAAGCCGTATTCAAATTACATGTGATACGACACATTTAAAGGCATACGAGTGACTTGGTCAACGCAACCAAGTCGATGGAAAAGTGTCGGTTGATGCAACGTATTTCATCATATTTGATTATACGTGACTTAATCCTTGTAAATTAATCGTCTTCTCGTTTGAAGATGTCCTCTCTCTCTCTCTATATACACTATATTATCAAGAAGTACTATCTATTAATGCATATTATTTAAAATTCAAAATTACAAATAAATTATTGAATTTGAAAGAGCCAAATCGAGTTCGAAAACAAAAAAATGTTGAAACATCCCATAACATTCGATTTGGTGAAGACTTCAGCAGTTAATCAAGAGTAGAGCTAGGTAGAACGCTGACAAATTTGGCCGCCATGTATTACTGCACAAAATGGCAAATAATCTCAATTCATTATGAGCTATCTATACAGTGTTTCAACTTTCACACCAGATAACAGGTAATTGTTAGTGATGATTGATGAGCACGCATGTCAAAAAGAAACCTCTGAAGCCAAGCTAACCCTTAAACAATATATGCAAGAGCTCAATATTGCTTCTAGTTTAGGTGGACAACCCGACAAATAGACATTCACAGGAATTAGCTTATCGACTCCACGAACAATACTATAAGAATCGATCTCGGTGGTAGATTGAGCAACCAATGATCAATCACGTATTAAATTTTAAAATTTTATAAGAAAAACATCCCGACAAACGTTATTATTATAAAAGAATTGCAAACATTCTTCATGAACTATATAACAATTAACTACAAAACTCATTCTTAAAAAAATAGATTGTGCACATTTTTTTCCCCGGTTAACACTGTAAAATCAAGTCATCAAATAAAATGAAATCAGTTATTTTTATTATTATTTCTGGCTCAACCACTAAAAACGTTAAAAATAATGAACTGTTGAACATTGATAAAATTTAACTCCTAATAAAATTCAATTCCAACCACAAATTAAAAACATATTTTAATAATAAACAAAATATATTTTTATATATTATTATATTATTTTATTACAACTCAGTAATTATAATATATAATATTTTTTATA